TCAGGTCTTTTTTTTTTTTTTTTTGTCTTGAGCACTTGGTTGGATTTTGCCTCCATGATTCATTTATTAGTAGCCGCGGGGCTGGAACACAACCCCGACTGCCGTGTTGTGCCTGAACCACAGGGCTGTTCCTGAGGGTTTGAGTGGCCTCCTCCTCCTGTCAGCACCTTGCCAAAACCCCAGCAACACCAGCACCGGGTCATCCCCCTCCTGCCAATCGCCGGGAGGGAAGGATAACTCTTTGAATCATCCCATTCTCCCCTTAATTCCAGGTGACTGAATCACTCCTGCCTCGCAGCTCCCGGGATATGATTCCCACTGGGATCAGCTGTGCAGTTCCCTTCCCCTGGCACTCAAGAGACAGAAGGTGCTGGTGGGGCCAGATGGACAAAATGCCACCAGTGACAGGCAGACAGACAGACGGGCACCTTCCGTGGGCTTGCAAAGGTCATACCCAAGCATAGGTGTTCCTTCATGCTCCACATGCAGGCATGCACACTTGTGAAGGCAAAATAAGGGCACGCTGGTGTCAGATCATCCGGAGAATTTGGAGCCACCTCTAATGAGGACCCTGGGCTTTTAAAGTGCTTGTCACTCAGCGTGACACAAGGGCAGGGCTTTACCTCCCAGGAGGAGCTGCCAAGGTTTCTGGGCTAGGGGAGCACGAGACAGTCTAACTGCAAGAGCTGAAAGTCAGGAGGGTGCTTTTGTTTAACTACTGGTGCAAAACAAAAACATAAACAAGAAACAAACAAAAAAAATATCAGTCCCACTCTGTTTTGGGGAAAAAAAAAAAGAAAAGAAAAAGAAATCTTATGATGCTTCTAGTTTCCTGCTTATTAACCAGGCAATTTTCCAAGAAAAATGAATTTGCCTTGGTGGGAAAAAATGAGCAGTTGTAAGTAATTCAGTGTTGGCACGTTCACTTTTGGAAGTTGAAACAGTGGATTTTGTTGCATTCATGACAAAGCCAAAGGGGAAGGGCAGAAAGTAACTCAAAACAGAAATGGAAGATGAGAATTGAGAGTGTGAGATATCCCTCATTCAAAAGATTTTTTTAAAAAACCAGAAAACAAAGCCCCAGTAAAAACTTTCAACTTATTCTGAGCAAGCAAAAGCTCAGTAGTTTGCACTAGGTTTGTACAGCTTCAGTGTGTAAAAAGACAACAAATTTCAGTAAGGAAGGACCTAAATTCATGCACTTTTCTAGCACGTGTCCAGGGACACACGTTGTCCAATGGACACACCAGCAGATGTGCTTTTACAGGATTTCAAGCCAGCGTGTCATTAGGGCAAACACAAGCACCCCCTGCTTGGGGAAAAGCCACTGTCCCTCTCTCCTAGCCCCGGGCTCTCTCACACACGGGATGGGGGCAGGCAGGGGGGGTGGCTGGAGAACTATGGATGCAGTTGTCTCCACTCTTCCAGGGAGACCCCTTGGGAATTCCAAACTCACATACCTTCTGATTCACGTACCTGCCCGGCTGCTTTCCGACTGATTTAAGAGCGGGTTGATCGATAGCCCAGATGCGAGGGGGCTTCCAAAAATGTGTGAGGAAGGGAGGCTGAATGTTGAACCTGCCAGCGAGAACACCTACATGGCAAAACGAGGAGGGAGAGAGAGAGAAAAGACTTCGCAAAAATACAAGAGGAAAATAACTTCATTATTCCATCTCCTCTTGAACCCAGCTTGCTCATGAGAGAGAGTGTTAAAAATATCTCCTTGGAAGTCTCGCTAGACAGTTGAAATCTCCCCAGCCCTGTCTCTAAGCCAAGAGGGCTGAATGAGCCGTGTTAACACCGAGGCTGTAAAACTAACTCTCTCCTCCCTGTAAAACACCTCTCACAGCGAGCTCCTGACAAAGGACAAGGCTCCGTCTCTTGGCACACACACAGCCCACCCAGCTGGGACGTGTGAGCCCTCCCACCAAGTTATCTGTGCTGCAGAGTGAAGGTAGGGCTGGCACTGGTGGCAGGATCCTGCCGAGCAGCATGGGGACAGCCAGGCCTCTGCCACCCGAGCGCCGTCTGCGCTCCCCTTGCAGTCACTGCAAAGCAACACGTCCTTCTCAGTTGCAACTTCTCCCACCCCAAAATAGGCTGCTCTGATGCAAAATTGCCTACATCTTTCTACAGACTCTAAAGTAAGCTGCAGTTGGCAGCTCCCCTCCAAACTGAAGGCAGAGTGACTGTTCCCAAGTGGAAAAAGCAAGCCTTCTGTGCCCACTGCTCTGCCAGTGACTGCTCTGCCACACGCTCTCCTCAACTACAGTCCCTCTCCTGGTCCTGATGTTCTTACCTGTGTGGTGGAGACGGAGGAGGAGGAAGCTGGGATGGTGCTAGCAAAGGGAGACCGGTTGAGCTGTGGGAGAGACGAAGTGCCCTGGTGTGCCAGCAGGCTGGAGGAGAGGGGTGTGCTGCAGACAGCTCTGAGCACTCCGCCCCCGTGGGAAATAGGGTCCTTGTTACTGGTGTAGATCCCTGCAAGGGGAGGAGACGTGTTAGAGAGCCAGGCACCCCTCCCATGGCCTGCAAGCAGCTGGTTTTCTGCAGGGCTCGATCTCAAAACGGGAGGGTGGCACCGATGCACAAGCCCAAGTGCAACACGCATTTCAGCATCTCGTAGCCTGGCGTGCAGCGAGGGTGGTCACAGCCTGTAATCCATCTATCAAAAGGTATCACCAGCTTTTCCAGCCTTGCCCCTTCCCCACCTTCTCGTTTGCCCCCCACAACCCCAGAAATTGCAGCAGAAAGCGACTCACCGAAGGCACAAGTCAGTGGCAGAAGAGGGTGATGGGCTCAGAGAGTCCCACTCTCTGCTGCTCGTGTTAGACCACACTCCTGCTGAGCTAACCTGCCCCCTCCCGCGATGCCCAGGGACGGTGGTGGGGCAGGGACAGATAAATGAGGAAGAAAAGGTGAGGAGAGAGCTGCTGAGGAGGGAGGGGACAGTCTGACTTCCCCTGGGCTTAGGCAGGCAGCAGAGACACTGCCCAAAACCGGGTCCCTCCGAGCCCTGCCAACATCTCTCCGCAGAAGAATTGAAAAAGGAGCAAGCAGGAGAGCGGGACCTGGCAGCCACCTCCTCTTTGAAACATCCCTGTGTTGTTCCGGGGTGGAGGGGAGGCAAAAAAAAAAAAAATTGGCCTAAGGTTATGATTATGGAAGTTGCATCAATTCTTGCTGCTCCTCTCCTCTCTCAGGCAGCGCAGACAAATGGGCCAGGGCTCCCAGGCGCACACAACAAAATTATACACACCCCCCCCCTCCTCTCTTTGCAATCTGACCTAAATTGGAGCATCTGCAAACAACCCACAATAGACCGATGACAAGTTCTGCTGCCAGAACAGTGTCAAACCTCAGCCCCGAGCTGCAGGCCCCTCCTCTGCCTGCTGCCTTAACCCCTTCCTGCCCCACATCCTGGCCATCCTTAGCCCTGCCAGGCCAGGGAAGGGAGCTCTGGCTGGGAACAGCCAGAAGCCTCTCCGAGTTAATGGCACACCAGTCTCCCAACCCGACGTGGATGTGGTAAGACCAGGATGAGAGGTTTTGCTTTTAAAAGAGAGGTTAAACTTGAACCACTTCTGAGAGTCCCTCATTTGGGGTCAGACTGTGGTTGTTCCGGTTTGGCCTGGGAATGCCCTCTCCCGGCATTGCTTTGGGAGTGAAGCTCTGAGGTTTGCCAGCACTTGAGCAAAAAAAATAGTTTGAAATGCTCTCCCCCCAGCTCCAATCTGCAGGCCAGATCCAAGGAGAGAGAAGCTGACCCGGAGGAGATTTTAGAACGATGGCCAAGATGGGAAAGGGAGACCCAGATGTGCATTTTTATAGCTCCTGGGAGTGAATTAAAGGGACTGGATCCTGTGCTGATGGGTCCAGACACCAGCCAAGTGTGACGAAGGTGAGAGCGTGGCTGGGAGGAGCTGTGCACACCAAGAGCCCTAAGGGGGAACATACCTGAGCCCAGCAGCGGGGACTCCATGCTGAGGCTGGGCAGATTCCCCGTGTGGCTGAAGGACCGGGAAGAGTTGCCGATGCTGGAGCTAACGAGAGAGCCCCCGGAGAAGGGTGACGAGGAAGTAGATGTGGACCCAGCCAGCTGGGCACCCAAAATCTCTTTGCTTTTGCCCCCTTTTGGCCTGCCAGGCCCGTGCTTGTTCTTCTTGCTACCCTTGTGCTTCTTTTCCTTCAGCACCTCTCCCTCCTCCATGCTGAGGGATGGCATGCGCTTGTGGCTGCTGCTGCTGCTGCTCCCACTGGTCCCACTGGTCCCCACCGCGGGGCCACTGACGGGGTTTGAGGCTTTATAGTCCACAGGGGAAGCATCACGGCCTCTCTGCTGGCTCACCGCGGAGGTGGAGAAGCGCATGATGGACCCAAAGCCGGAGAAGATCACCTTCTGCTCAAAGACGTCCCCCTTCTGGCCTTCGTAGAGAGGGGAGCAGTGGGAAGAAGAGGAGGAAGAGACAGGCTTCCGGTACTTCTCGTCGTCCTGCTCGAGCTTGGGGAACGTCACAAAGTCCTGGGAGCACTGCAAGTTGCTGCAGGAGGTCCCTGGGGGAAGCAGAGGGGAAAGAGATATAGGATGGCTCGTGGTGGCAGTGAGTCAGCCCAGAAGGCAACAGGAGCAAGGTCACAACGCAGGTCCTCTGGCACAGGCTTGTTACTGAGCTGAGGGACAACTTTGTCACCTCCCAGCCCCGCTCCTGTTGCTTTGACACTCTCTAGCAAGCATGAGAGGTGCACACTAGCAACTTCAGCCCATCCAAACGTGTCTGCTCCCCCAGGCCCTGCATCAGCACCATCCCTCCTGCACCAATTAGGGTCCCCAGGGCACGAAACAGCCTCACTGTTACAACAACAGCTCAAAAAAGAACTGTGCGAGGTGGGAGCAGATGGGAGCCCCAAAAGGCTTTGACTCAGGACTCAGGGGAGCCTGGAGATCGGGTTTTGGCTCAGGTCTCTCCACTCGTACTCCTTAAAACACTGCTGCAGACAGTACCACCTACAGAGGAGAGGGCAGGTGCTGCCCATATTGCCTGTGCACAGAATCCCTTCCCTCCGCCCTCCGCTCAGAACATCTGGAGCTGGTTTTCCTTGCAGAGCAGCAGGCCTGCACCGGAGGGGAGCTGTAACACTCATCCGACTCAGTTCTCCCCTCTGTGCATGGAGTTAGTAGCCGTAAGACTCTTCCCTTTCCCTTCAAGGGGTTAAAGAAATAGCCACCAGCAAAGTTTCGGGGCACTAGCTGCTGAACAGGTATCTTTAGGAAGCAAAACATCACCCCTTCCTTCTCCTTCCCCCCTTACCTGCCGGCTGGAAGGTCCCGCTGGATGAAGCCGAGCTGAAACCAACCGAGCTCTTCCCGCTCCCCGTCTTCTTCCCCTTGTGGCTGCTGCCATGGCTCGAGGACTTCTTGCCTTTCACCTCCGACCTGCCGACCTCCGAGGTCTCCTTGCTCCCCTCATGGTGGCTAGTGGAGCCCTGGCAGCAGCAAACACAGAGGTGACTCACTCAGGCCAGATGTGGCCCCAGCGGGGGCTCTTTTTACCAATTTCCCCTTAAGAGAAGTAATTGCCCCCTCTGCCCACAAAGTGATGGTCAGGTCATGTTAATCAGGGGAGAAAAAGCAACATTTCCCTCTGTTGCTGCTTGGTGGCACCAGGCTTTATACCCCCTAGGGATTACACTCATCCCATCTCCCTGCAGGAAATTAAACAGGGCACTGACAATCAGGGCACAGACACCAGAGATGTCAGAAGGTTATTCTGCCCAAACAAAATCCAAATTTGGCTGCGATTCAAACACGCATTTTCAGCTGCCTCTCTCAGGTGTGCTGTGCTCAGCAAGGTCATTCCACCTGGGGGAACCTGCTCGTCCTTGTGCCGTGATGGGAGTTTCCCTGGGTTCCCTAAAGCATCCAGGGATCCAGGGAAGTGCCTCCCCTGCCAGCCCAGGGCTTTCCAAATCCGCTGCAGTAAATATTTCCCAGTGACATTGCTCGAGCAGCATCTGACCATGCAGCAACAGATGCTGTCCAAACCCCATCTAAGCCCACAGGAGACAGGGAAGCAAGGGGGCTGAAGAGGCTGGCCAGATGCTAGGAAATCCAGGAGCTTGGGATGAGAGAGAGAGAAGTGTGGGAGTTTAGCAGGGCGGGGGGGGGAGAGTGGAATGAACCGAAAACCAGATCCCCCCGGGCACCCACGCTGGGATATGAAACCTTCACCTTCAAGTCACTTCAAAGCCAAACTAGCAGCGTTCAAAGATCACTTCTTGCAATATATTACCACAACCAATCAATATTATAGATAATAGCTCCAACGTGATGGCTACAGCCCAAAATGTAACACCTGTACATTAGTGCAAACACCTTCTATTTCTTACGGAGCAGATACAAGGAAGACACAGAGAAGCACGATACCTTTCTTACATTCCACTATCCCTGACTCCAGATGACCTCTTCGTGGGGAGAGCTAAAGAAAAAAGGGCTTGTAATGCAGACTCATGAATGCCCAGATAAAAATCTCTCCCCATTCCTCCCACATGGTTTAATCACTCTGCACAATGCAACAGCTGGCAGCCTAACACACACCAGATGTGCCGGGAATATGAAAGACAGGAGGAAGGGAGTGGTGGAAATTAGGGGGGAGAGGAGGGGGAATCTGTATTTTCTCATCACAGACTCCTGGATGTAGGAGATTAAGCCTCCTTGATTTACGAGCTCGGAGGGAGCATGAAAATCTTTCCGACTTTCCACATCTGCCTGGGGAGGGAAAGGAGAGCAGTGTCTGGGGGCTGTGGGATGTCCTGGGACCGCTCACCAAGTCGCAGGAACGAGATGGCTCACGTCTCAGCAGAAACGCAAAGCCCCGAATTTTCCCCCCCATAAATTCACCTCTTTGGAGCTCGGCACAAGGTGCACGAGGCCCCAGAAGGGCAGGGGGAAACCACATGAGAAGACATGTTCTAAATGCAGAGTGTCGGGAAGGGAGTGCAGGGCAAGTAATGAATTAGTGCAGGGTGGAAGGGGGAAACCTGAGCCGGGAAATAAATCTTAATTGCAAAATTATAGGGGGAAAGAAAGCGGGGGTGGGGAGGGAGAGGGGTTGAGCTGAAGGTGGGGAATGGACAGACACTCACCTGTAGGGCTGACCTGACCCCACAGACCTCCCCGAGAGACTCCCAGAGATTTTGGGGGCAGGATTTTCCCACCTCCTGCCAAATGCTTGCCTAGGTATCGTTTTGCCAAACAGGTGAGGGCAGACAGATCTGTATGGCAGGACCACGAGCCCTCCTCACCACAAAGGGCTCTTCTCCAGCAGCTGCTCCAAAGAGCTTGAATTTGGGGCAAGGGCCCAAGCGCTGGAGCCGAGGAGCAGGGGAGGAGGAAGCTGAAACCACACTAAATCACTTCCCCTCCCTGTGCCTCTATTTCTTTCCCACTTTGCTCCGTGGAGCCTCCAAAGCTCTGTGTGGCAGCGGAGCCTTCCAGGAGACACACGTGGACGGCCAAGCACAACACAGCCTTGGATCTGAAGGGGAGGGTCTGCTCAATGCCAATATTAATAAGTCAGGAGGGCTGCAAGCCCACCACCTCCCTAAGGAAGGAGATTCTCCAGCTCAGGGCTGCTGCTGAGAAGGAGCAGGAGTGGAGAAACCTCAATCTCTGGCTCATCAGTTTTCCTCCAGAGTGGAAATCCACGTGTGTGTGTGCAGAAACAGCAATATTTCATGTGTTGCAAACAGGTGGGGGTAGAAGGGGGGAGGGCATGCTGCAGAAGGAAAAAAAAAATAGGAAAGCACTGAGGAAGTGAGAGAGCTCTCTTTTCAAAATGAGGCAGCAGCTAGGTTTTGAAGGTCTGTTTAAAGCAACCAAGTGAGAAATGCCACCAGAATAAACCTGCTGCCCCAGCTGGAGGTGACAGCCTGATGGGGAAACTCCTGCCTCAAACCTGGAGCTGGGAGAAGAAAGATGAAGTCGCAGGGGCACCCAAGCACAGGCATGCACACACCTTCCCCCCCCGGCACTCGCTGTCCCCCGAGTACCTGTTTCCTGGCCTCCCTGTGACACTGTGCAGCACCCAAGCTCTTCATTCATTAATTTATTTATGGGAAATCAGAAGAGCATCTCTTTGCCTCCTGATTGGCGGGACGAGCTCCTCAGAGGGAACCACTGACGAAATACAGAAGGGGTGGGGGGAGGCTGGTGCCGCGTCAGAAGCACAGAGCGGCTTTGCCCTGGATTAAACTACTGGAGAGGGGAAGGAGGGAGGAACAATGCGCCGGGAGCAGGAGCTCCTGCAGCCCACAGAGCGCAGGGCGATGCGCCGAGGCAGCCAGCCGGGCAGGATGGAAGCCCCAGCTGCCTTTCCACGCTGGGATCACCACTCGTTAGAGGTCAGAGGAGTCTCCATCGGGATGCTCAGCTACAGCATCTCTGTGTCTGAGCCATCGGCAACCTTTAACCACGTCCCTTCCCTCAGCCCCGAGACCAGGCAGCACCGTGCTGTGTAGGTGGGGAGGGGAGACGCAGAGAGGCCAAGATTATATTTCTAATTCCCTAATGTCACCGGCAAATTCCCACTCGTGCCGGGGCAAGGGATGCTAAAAGGCTCAGGGATTCTTACCACAAACCTCCGTGCTGAGACATGCTTTGATTTGCAGGGGTAATCATCATCCTTCCCCCACAGGCTCCTACCCCATCACAGCCACTGTGAATCTGCCTGAGCCAGGCATGGAGCAGAGGTTCCCAGGATCTGTCAGCTCCAGACCAGTCCTGGGTAGATGCTGAGAGCTCAAATAACAGTGGGAAACCTGGAAAATCTCCCTGCGATCGTGCGCTCTTGGCCCTGCTGTGTTCCCTCTCCAGCACCTGAGTGGGAGAGGGTGGGTGTGGGGAGGCTTTGGCATCCCCGGCTTAGATTACAAAACCCAGATCAAGCCAGATGTTGGGAGCCCAAAACACGTAGCATGTGCGAGTGTGTGTGTCAACAAGTGATCGTGATGTCTGCAGCTGGCAGGAGAAGGCAGCTGGGGTGGCTTGCAATCCTGCAGATTTACTGCAAGTGCAACAGAGAGCGGCAGGACGGCTCCCCGGGGGCATTTGCAGGGGGAGGGAAGAGGCTGCTCTCTCTTCGCTGCTCGCCCTTCGCCTGCTCATTAACCTCGATGGCCAGAACCAGGCACCAGCTACACGGAGGGATCCCGAGCGCAGGAACTGCCTCCCGAATTTGGCTGGCAGCCTGGGACTCCAAAGCCCCAGCAGCACTGGCTGCCAAGACTTACTGGTGAGCCCCATCGCTCCTCCCCTGGCGAGAAATCCTCCTCTGCCCCAGGCCCGCTCCATGAACACCATCTTTCCAACAGGCTGTTCAAAAGCATTACCAGTTGGCAGCGCTTTGTAGCTTTTGGATAGACCACATGAAATAGCCAGAAACTATTCTAGCCAGAGACTACTACCCAGAGGGGATGTTTTCTGCCTCCTTCCCACCCCCCAAAAAGTCTGTAGCAGCTCCAAGCAGCCGGCACGACAATGAATGAGAGCCTGTATCCAGCACAAATCCACTCTCTACAACCCTTCCATCTCCAAATCCACCACCGGAGCAGCACTGGGGGGGATTTTCAGCAGGTCAACTGCTCCGTGTGTTCTCTGGAAGGGACAGTCCCATGCCCCACGAGCAGGGTCTCCTGCCCCTCTTTGAGAGGGATGAACATCTCATCGCCCAAAGACACTTTTCAGAGGCAGGAGGAGAGCTCAGGAGAGGTGTTACGAGAAGTTGTTTGCACGCTGTGAATTCACACCCCAGTTTCACTTTCCGGTGTAGACGAGAGCTGAGGCCACACCACCGTGTTTTCGGTATGTTTGTTTCCTAAAGCAGAGTGAAGCAGGGAGAGGCTGTCACTGCACAGGACACTGAGGCCTGGTGGAGTCCAAGTGTCAGATATTAATGGTATTTAGATTCCTAGAAGTCGCAGGGAAGCACTCAGTGAAATGTTCGAAAATCTGGCAGAAGTCAGAGGTCTAGCACAATTGATTTCAAGAGGAAGACTGAAACCACATCAAAGGATCTTCTTCAGAACTAAATGGTTCAAGAGGGGAGCGCAGGGTGGACGACATATTAGGTGAAAATTGGAAATGAGAAATAAATCTGGATTGCAAAATTAAAGGAAAAGGTGAAGCCAGAGGCCAGGCTGCCTGAGGGAGTGAGGAAGTGGGATATACCACTCCAGGGGAACACAGCATCAAGGGCTGGACCAGCCTCTTGTGGCTCTGCACGGCCACTCTGGGCCAGTGTCCTTCTCCCAGACATCAGGACACGACCATCTGCAGGTCTTTGAGATCTGCTCTCACCTGACTCCTCCCCATGGAACACTGGGGGCTGTGTCACCTGCAGGGATTATCCCTGGGGAATTTACCCTCTGGTTCCTTGGGTAACTTGGAGAAAACCACAGAGATGATAAATTATTTACCATGCAAGTGGTAAAGAGAGGAAGAGACCCCAGCTCTCTTCAGACCCCAACCATGGCACAGCAGGAACCATCAACGCTCTTCTTGCAGTCACACATCAGCTTCTGGTTTGCTGCATCTACACCACCCGCTCCCCAGTACACTCTGCTGGGACACACTGTACTATCTAAGACCCAGAAAGGACAAAGACTGTTTTGGCTTCGACTAGGACACTTGTTTGGACACGGTCCATTAATGTGTTTCAAGGTTTTACATTAGTCTAACCCGGGCAATGTTACACTCATGCAACCACCTAGAAAGCCTCATACAACCACCCCCGGAGGGGTTTGTGCGAGGTTGTAGCAGCTCTTAGGTTTGAACCTTTGGTAACAGAGGGTTTGAACAAGGCTTTGGGATCTATGCAAACAAAAAAGCAAGGGAAATACACTCTCTGTTATGAGGATTAATAATAACTCCCTAGGGAAACACTAAAACCCTGTCACTCAAGCACAGCTACAGTAATTAGGATCTCCTGAATTTTCAGCTTACAAAGAGTTGAAAGCTGCCTGTAAAACTGAATTGCACCCTTCCCTCTGTATTTATAAAGGTCTGGCAGGGCTTTGGAGGAGACAGTGGGTAATTGTCTAACAACCACTCCGGCTGGCCAGGAGTCAGGTTTTGGATTTCAGTTCAGCTTGAGAATAATCTTCTTAGGCCATCAGTTCCTGACAGCCCTGTTAACTGGGTGAATCTGCTCTTCCCAAAAGCCAGAACTGAGCTGCCCAAACACGAGCACAGGTAAATGGAGAGCAATTGCAGCTCAGGGGCTGTCCCTCCACTCCGTCCTGCTGTAACTTTCTGCTGCTCCCAGCCGGAGAACCGTGAGACCAGCTTTGCCATTTCAGCTCTGACCTACATCTACTCCCTGCTCCCAGGCTTGGCCGCACACACAACATAGAAAATCCTCTCCAGTCCTAACCCAAAGCAACCCCGTGCTGACTGGCAGGAGCTTTCACTCTCCCAGACTGCCCCTGCAGTGTTTCTCACATGTGCAGACACCGTTAGCCCGTGAATTTTCATCTTCACAACGCAGCCCTGCCACGTAAAGGACACCCAAGCCTTTCCGAGTAGCATTTCTGTGCACAAAAGGACATTCCTGGGACATGTTGTTTATTTGTCCTAGCAGGAGCTTGGCCCTAGTTCTGCTCTCGCTTACACCAGAATGGCCCTGCTAAGGAGCTGCATTAATTCACTTTCCCACTATAGAGAGCACAACTCCAAAGGTCCAGGCACTGGAGTAACCTCTCTTGTTCCCTGACCCTGAACAACTGCAAACTCAGCCTTCACCTTGTCTCAGGTGAGCTCGAGGCAGGTTCCACCGTGTCTATTCTGCATTTCTGGAGTCTTGGGGACTGGCACGAATTACAGAAAGCTCAGGTCGATCCTGATTTACAGCCAGGAGCCCACGTCAGCAGCATCTTTTCAGCTGTGAATATCAGAAACACACTGACATCCTGACTGGGCCCCACCAGTTCTGGGCACTGGGCAGCCAATTCTGCACGAGGGACATCTTCCCAGCAGGGAACTGCACAGCCTCCACACCTCAGGAGCAAAATAGGCCACCACGCCGTGTGCCCTGCTGCCTGAATTTTCCTGAAATGAAAGAACTAAATAGGAACCAACCTCCCATTGTCTCAAAAAAGCTACCTCTATTATGCACTTTGAAGATTTTACGTGCTTCTAAGATTGCCTGGTTCTGCCCCCCCCCCCTCCATCTCATCTCTATCAGTTTGTCTAATAAAAGATAACACCTCCTCCCACAAGCCTTGCCTTGCTTATCCACCTGCCTGAGCCGTTTACAACGTGGCAGCAGAAAAGGCCAAAGCACGGGTATTTATCTGTTCTGCGAGAGCTTGAAATCCGAACATCTGCTGCAAAACAGGCTGGCACTTCCAGCTCCATCACTTGGGAGCTCAGCTCCATGATTGTGTCGTCAGCGCTGACAGAAATCAAGGCAGCTGCCGTGTTAAATTCCCAAGGTGGGCGTTGAGGTGGGGAGTCAGGCAGAGAGAGCGGGAATGTGACGAATCAGGAATCAAAAATAAATGGACAAAAGCCCTTTCTCTGCTCTTCTCTGCTCTCCTCCCCGTTTCCTAGGAAAGCTGATGGGTTTTCCCCTGCCCTCCCTCTCCACCCTGAGTTCAAGCACTCACATGCTGCGGGTTGGGTACCTTCTCTGCAGCCACGGGCACCGAGGATGGGGTAAGGCTGGTGGGAGACTCCGGACGTTTTTTGTGCTTCTGTTTAGGTCTTTCCTTGTCTTTCCGACTCTGCAAAAGAAATCAGAGAGTACTGGAAGGCTAACTTTCCCTCTGCTGAGAATAGCAGTTGTAAGGGAAAAGAAAGGAGGGTGTGTAGGGGTGGATTTACAACCATACATTCATATTCCTCTCTCCTTCTCCACCCATCCACACGAGCCCAGTATCCCTTCCCCCACATCCCAGCTTCTGGCTGGGACCGTCCCACTATCTCTACCCCAGCTGCAGCCAACATCTGGAGTGCAGAATATCAACAGAAGCCCAGGAATCAGTTTATGGTAAGATGATAGGGAAAGACTTAACAAGCTCTGGCTGATTTCAAGAAACCTGAGCCTTCCTCCTGCCGTTTCCCCAAAGGGACCCTGTGCCCCCTCACTCTCCACCTTCCTCGAAGGGCTTCTCAGATCCACCCTGCCCAGTCAATGGGAGAAGCTGGATTTCAGCACGTGTTGCACGTGCACAGGTGAAGAGATCAGTCAGTGGAGATCTCAGAACCCTGGCTTGAACCTGAGCTAGAGATCCCCCCCATTTCCCCTCCCACCAGAGACAGCTGGTCTGGGTCCATCTCTGCAAACAGGGGACAAACTATTTAGTTGGATTCCTTCACCCTGTTTTTTCTCTCACTAAAACCCCAGAAACAGGGGATTCTTCAACTTGCAAACCGAGGAAAAAATCACGGTCTGAGAAACCCTGAGTCCTGCCTACCCTGATTTTATATTCTCCTGGGGAATAAGGAGGTAATTCTTATATTGTGCTGTCTGGATGTTTATGCTAAAACTGAGATGAGTGAAAGGACTGAAAACGTAGGCCTGTGTGACCTCAAGTCAGTGGGGCTTGAGGATGCCCAGGCCAGCTGGCACACAGGATGGATGGAGAGAAGAGCATCTCCATCATACACTCCTGCTTCCTCCCCGTCTTCCTCAGCTCCACGCTCCCATGGGAACACGCTCAACGGACTACAGGAGCTCTTCCCTGCTACCAAAGTCAGCTAAAGACATGGACTTCTTTCCTGAAACTGGAGAACTTCTGTGCTGAGCTCCAAACTTTCCACTGCAGTCACTGGTGCGTGGACCAGGAGAGCTGCTGTCAGATAAACACCTGCAGAAGATGCAGGGCTTAGAAAAACCCATCCTCTTGTCTCTGAGACCTTTTGGTGGGAAAGGATGCAAATTCTGCTACAATTCCCTCACACGGGTGTTTTATTCTAGAAGCTGAAGTCCTCAGTCTGGACCAAAGGTGTGTTCAGAACAGAACAGTCACATCGAAAACCACTGATGCTCCAGAAAGACGCTGATTGTTTCCTCATGCAGGCAAAGCCCTGAGGCTACAGCTGCCAGCACACGCCAAAGAGGGGATGCTGTCAGGGGAGGATGTGATTGTGCCAAATATATGAGCTCCACTGCACGGGGGTTTTTTTTGGGGGGGAGGAGAAGAGAGTGGAATAATTAGCTGAGAAAACAATACACTAAATGGGAGAAAAAAGGGGCAGGAGGAGGAGGAGGGCAGGAGGAAAAGTCTGGAGAAGGCAAGCATGAGGTGAAGCAGAGGTGAAGCAAAAGTGCTCCAGAAATCAGCACCTTCCAGTGTGGGTTGGGCTGAATTTTCATGGCCTGTGAAAAGGAGACTCAGCCTGCAGCCCCCAGAGGCCCTGCAGTGTAAACCTGCCATGGCAGAAGCTCTCACTGGGACGAGCTGGTGAAAAAAAAGGAGGCAAATCCAGCCTCCAGCTTCACTGCGCTTGCTGAGTGCACACCCAGCACTGCCAATACCCATCACTTTATCACACAGTCCTGGTGTTTGGCATCTGTGTTAAAGCCTCTGTTCCTAGAGCTTCAGCATT